ATTTGTAATCATTACGGTGGCCAATTTACCATTTCAACTTTGTTGATATATCCAAATTATTTTGTCCTTATATGTAGCCTAACAGCTTTTCTCTTTCTACTTACTCAATGGGGCTGGTGATTATACTACCATTTTAAGGCAGTGCACATATTCATATCTATAATTAATATAACCTACTACTTTTTACCCGAGTCATGAATGAATTTTAAAAATTTTTGGATTTTTTTTTTCATTTCTAGCTGGGAAAGCAAGGTTTGACAATCAATAACTTACAACAACAACTTTCAGCTTTTTGTGATGCTTTTGTGAAAACCCAGGGCCATGGTCAGTTAGACAAAGAAGTAAGGGACTTAACATTAAAGATACAAAAAAGATTCATGATATAAAGTTAATGAATCAATGTTCTTGAAATGTTTGTCAATTTTACTAATTAGGATGGTTATTTTATGAAGCTAGTTCTTATATCAATTGAATTTTATGCTTTATTTATAATGTTTTATTTGTTTCCTGTACATGCTGTGAAACAATTGTTCAAATTTTTTATCAGGGTTTCATCACTTTCTGGGACGTATCAGGTGGTATCTGGTTTCTCCCCTTACCACGAGGCCATTTTACAATTGTTTACTTAGTTGCCAAGCCTTTAACTTGGAGTGGGACTGAAGTTGACCTTTTTGTGATAGAGACCAGTATCTAGTTAGCATGATGACAAATTAATTTACGTTTGAAAAGCAGCAATATTTGTATCATAACAAGGTCACCTTAGCCTCACTCCTCAAGGGGGTGTTACGAAAACTAAGACCCTCGAAAACTAAGACCTAAGACCTAAGACCTGTCTTAGTTTTCAATATTATGAAAACTAAGGCCCCCTAAAATCAAATCCATTGAAATATAAAGTCAAATTGTAACCAAAACAGGTCTAATCTGTCAAATTATCTAGTGTCTGATCTTTTCCAATGAGTTCTAGCTCAGTCAAATTTAGCAGTAAATTTAGGGGATCTTAGTTTTTGGAATTTCGAAAACTAAGACCCCTCTTAGTTTTCGTAATTTGAAAACTAAGACCCACACCAAACCACTCCATAAAATTTCCATCAAGTTGAATTACAACTGTTCAAAGACTATAATCCCTAAAACAACCAAAAACTACTATCATAGATACATGTACTAGACAATCCGCTTCCTTTAACAGTTTGCAGACATATATTATCAGCATTGTGGCCTTATAAAGAGGATGAAAGCCGTACACTACCCTCGTGTAATTGTACACTGAAAATATGCCTTACCCCTATTGGTCTTTGATTTTGTTGTTTTTCCTTTAAATCCTAAAATTGACTTTCCACTGGAGATGGATGTTTTTCTTCATGTGTCTGCAATCGAGATTGTGTTACTTGTGACAGTGCTGAATAATGTATGCACACGCAGTACTGAGGTTTTGGCGTGGAAACTCATATTTTGAGTCGTTCGTATACCTGATCGTCGAGTATGATAGTAGTTTTTGGTTGTTTCACAGATGATTTATAGTCTTTGAACAGTCGTAATTCAACTTTGTAGAAATTTTAAAGAATGGCTAGGCAACCAGCCAGGCAACATTCAAAGGCTAGGCAACCAGGCATCGACTGTAAAATGAACTATTTGTTAGTTCCCCCTCCTGGGCCCTTGAAGTGAAACAGTTTGCACCAAAACTTGTTCCATGTGGCAACACATAATTATTCCTTTTCTGTCAAAATCATTACATAGGATCAAAAGGCAATTTTTTAGTGCTGACTCACACACTTGACTATGAAAGCATCCTTAGTCACCCACAACACTAGCTTTGTTAAGTGACATGCATGCAAGTTGTAGATAACAAATCATGTTAGTGGGTCGTGACTTAAAAAAAAATTTTTTTTTGCTTTGAAAGGGCTTTTTTTGTTGAATGCCAACAAATGAATGAATAGTATGCTAAGATATGGGAGTTTAAGTGACCAGGGGCAAATACAAGTACTACATGAAAAAACTACTTATAAATATTATTTCAGGAAATTGTGACAAGAAGTAATGAAATGAGGCAAGAACTGGTCACTTTGAGGAATGAAGTTCAGACTTTAAAAAATCAGGTACATGGACAAATTCTTACTGTTCTTACTATATCTATTGTTGGTAGAAAGTAATGTCTTGTTCAGGTATAATGTGTTGTCTCTTCTTTAACCGTAAGGATAATCTTCCATGGAACTGAGGAGTTTGCAGTTTTTAGTTAAACTTTCACATGGGAATTCTTGAAAGTTTTCATCTCGTCTCTTGCTTTCCAGTTTGAGGTTCAAAAGGATCAATGTGGTAAATACCATGATGAGTGTTGGGCTGAAAGTGGTCGTGCCATTGAGGAGCGCAACATTGAGGTGGAAATTCTTAAAGGTTCCATCACTTGTTTGGAGAAAGGGCTTGTTGATTTAAGAAATCGCCATGCTGATTTGCAAAATAGCTATGCTGCTTTGCAAACAAGGCATGCTGATTTAGAAAATAGGCATGATACCTTGCGTGCTCAAGTGCGTCATTCTGAAGGTTCATCATGAGGCATCAAATGGTAATTTACAGTTTGTTTGTTCCTCATTATCAAGTTCTTCAGCTGAAGGATGTAATTTAGGTGTCACAAAGTCTCCTAATATGCCTTTTGTGGAGAAAGCATTAGTGAGAGATTACTTAATTTACTGCAAAGCTGGTGAGGATTTCATTATCTATACCTGTCAAAGGTAAATTCTGCTTGTGTTTTCACAGTAATGTATGGTGCTTGTGGTAACCCCAAGTCTTCGAAGTAGGTCCTTTTATAACCTCTTTACTGTTGACACTTTAGAGGGATATAGTCGAAGTTTGTTTTAAATGAAAGTGAATGTTTTATTTCTCTTTTTTGAATGAAATAGTGCTTTTTTTAGTTGGCAGAAGGCAATCCCTTTTATTGTTATCCATTCTCTGCATTACTGTGTATCAAACACAGCTTTTAACACTCTGAAATTTGCGGTTTTGCCTGTGACTGGCATTTCTTATGCATTTGACTTTATTTTCCATGTTCCTGATGTGGAATAATTTTTGTTAGTAGGGCCAGTTTACAAATTTTGTGATCTTTTCTTTTTAACTACTACCTGACCAGTAAGTTTGAATGGACAGTGTTACTGTAGGAGGAAGTTTATTGTTGGTAATTCTAAAGGGTTAAGAGAGTCAATGTGTTGCCATACATAGCTACTACAACTTCTCTTTCCTGCTGGTTATAGGAATATCAGAAAGAGGAATGAGGATAGTCGGGAATTATAGGAATATGTGATGTTTCTAACTCCATAGGTAGCACATTTTCTTGAATAAGGGCTCATGCTCCAATGAGTGCTTCCTCCTTAAGTAAGCACTCCCCCTCCTCCCTTAATTTCTCAAATAATAAGGACAAGGAAAAACCTGTTTTTATTGCCTCTTTAATTACAATTTTTTAGCTTCAACTACTGCAGAATTAGTACAGAAGAATAGGTTATTCTTCTATTTACATGTGCTTGCAGTGTTCCTTTGTGTACATTATCTGTTCTTTTCATTTTTTTTCCTAATGCTGTGCTGACTTAAGAAGCACCCATTACATTTAACAGAAATTTGGAATAAGCACCTGGCTGCTTATTTGAGGGAATGTGCTATCTGTAATTGAGCAATTTCCCTGTCACAATGTTATTGTCTAGTGGTACTCATGAATTAGCATATTGGTTCAAGGATGTGGATGAGGCATTGTAGAATTAATTTTAATTTCAATTAATTCCATTAAAGGGCTGAAGCCCACCAGTCTATAGGCATGTACTTGTTATTAAAGCTAGGTTTTAAAAAGTGCAAAAAGTGTTTCAAAGCAAACAGCTCTAATTTTTTAAGAGTTGAAATTTTAGTTGAAAACATTTTTTGACATCTTATTTTACTGGAGTCTTATGTAAATTCTAAATTGTAAAGTGCAAACAACAAGCTAGTTTGCAAGACACAATTTCAGAGTAATAAAGTTTGCATAAATTTGTACATTGTACTTTGTTGTAGATAATAATTTTATTTGGAATCACCAAGAATTCAATGGCACCCTAGTTTTCTAGTAGTTTTCGTATAATACAATTGAATAACCTACTGAAGCAGAAAAGCTGTTGATTAAAATACTAAAGTTAAATTTGCACGTTTCCTTACTTTAATAGTATTGGTCTTGATGTCACTATATCTAACCCCACTCACTAACATACAAATTGGCCCCTTCAACAAGGGGCTAAGGGATGGAGAAAGTATCACAGCAAGGGGAGGAATGATACTAGCCCAGCAATCAAGCATTCAGTATGTTTGATGTGTCCTTTCCCATTCTGTCTTGTCCTGTCCTGAGAATTATGTATTAGTGGAAAAAGGGTATGGAGGTCTGGTCTGCTATTGTGTTGTGTTCTCGGGCAAGACACTTGATTCGCAAAATGCCTATCTTCATTTAGGGGTATGAAAAGATATCAGTTAATAGACCATTTTACTGTAGTGTAATTAGTTGCCAAGCCTTTGATTTGAAGTGAGGCTAAGGGTGACATTGTTGTGATAGAGACCAGTATCCAGTTAGCATGATAACAAATAAATTTGCATTTGAAAAGTAGCAACATCTATCATAACTAGGTCACCGTCAGCCTCACTCCTGTTCAAAGGTTGCTTGTGGGGAGAACCTCCAATAGTCTAGATTCCTTTTTTCTTTTTCGGGGGGGGGGATGCAACGGTACCTCTAGGTTCCCTATGCAACAGAAGTCTTGAAAAAACACGTGCCGATTGGTTGTTCAATCAACTACCGTCGAGCCGTTTTTTTCTAATCATTCCTCAGCGGTCAGTTTTTCGGACGCCATCGTTTTCTCTCCGAGATCGATCACTGAGTGCCACATGTACGGTTGGGCCTTTTACACAATCCTTTTCCGACAACAATGCAAACTTCCCTGGCAAGAGTTCTATATAACCTCATACATTAATAATGCATAGAGTGTTGCAAAGAAACCTTTATATTTAGTCTTTATGAAATGGGATGCATTATTTAGGGGTATGAAAAGATATCATAAACATCTTATCAACCGAGCTAGGTCGGTCTGTATGGAAGAATCTTGACCTCGGTCGTTGGTACAGACCGAACGCAGTGAGGTCTGTACTGGCGACCTCGGTCAAGATTCTCCCATACAGACCTCCCGCTCGGTTAATAAGAACTAATTATTAAAAACTGGATCGTTGGATAATGCAATTCAAGATTTTTTATTGGCGTAGCCATTGTGGTATATCAGCCATTATTAAAAACTAGATCATTGGATAATGCAATTCAAGACTTTTTATTGGCTTAGCCATTATGGTATATCAGCCAATACTAAGCGTGCGCGTCGGGTTAAAATTAAAAGGGAGCTAAAAGTTGAATAAAATTTAATAATTTAATTTAACGTTTTTAATAAAACAATTTTAAATTGTTAAATGTCCGACATCACCAACAACATAGTTCAACATAATAAAGAAATAAAACTAAGTCAAAAATGACCTCAAATAAGCATCTCCTCTGTGTATTTATCGTAATTCACGACGTTAAATTCGTAAACGAGGATTGGTGACTAAAGCTATAGGAACCAAAATGGCAAAGGTTCGTACTTATAAGTTCTTTATATAGCCTTATCTAGCCTTCTAAAAGTTATTTATTTGCTTCGAGAAAAGACTTAACAATTAGACGAACAGACTTAGATGAAAAAACTTTCGGACGAAAAGACTTGGACGAAAAGACCGTGGGCAACAACATAGATAGGGATGAGGACGGGGTTGTGGATGCTAATGATGATGACAATAAGAGTGATCCAGACAGTACTGGGTTCCAGATCATACGCCGTGAGTCGACTTCGGAGTAGGACTTCACCAAACCCACGTCCGCGCCCCTTCCCTTACCTCCTTTAAGTCCTTTAAGTCCTTTAAGCTTTTGAATCTAAGATCTGATTAAAAATTATGAGGAAATCTTCTCGTCGTTGAAGAAACGAAAGAAGAAAAGAAAGAAGCAGACTGTGAATCAAAATGAATAAAAACAATCCCCCATAGGTAACCTGACAAGGCCTAAGACTTTTACCCTCCCTGAAGCCAAACTGCGAACGGAGAATACACTTGGTACCTTAAAACAGTGAGCGTATTTTAGGCTCTCAGTCAGTGAAGACGAACGAGGGTCGCAGATGAACGACAAACAGTGACGGTGGTTGTCAAGGCTATGGTTTTTACGGAGTTTTGACCGTCGCTCTTACCTCCGCCCTTATTTGCGCGCCCGCTCTTCTCTACTACGCTGCAGTATCTGCCATAAGAATGATGGGACAGAAAATTATGGGATAGCCTACGTGAAAATTCTGTGGGGCAAAGGGTTCTTGAACAGCTTTTTTTCGATGATGGAGAGTTTTACCTCGCCGAAGAGTTTTCGTAGAGAAACGTTTATGTTTTAATAACATTGTAAGTATTGATAAGAAGGAAACATAAGTTTGGTCAAGCAAATGCCGTACTTTTACTTCCCTTTGACTATCGATGACATAATTTAGCTTTTGATTAAGTAAGTAGACTCCTTTTGAGTTAGTAGGAACTCAAACAACATAATTTGAACCCAAGATAGTGGATATAAAATGTACCTAATTTATCACCGTAACACGATACAACATTGCAGGGTGACATCCAACAAGTCATAGAATCATAACAGGTTTCAAATCGAAAATAGGGAAGCGAGTCAGTTCGATGGAAGGTTGTTTCGATGGAAGGTAGTTTCGATCGAAACCAAAGGTCAGTTCGATCGAAGACAAGAGTCAGTTCGATCGAAGAGTAAATGATAGTAGTATATTCAAGGAATAGAAGCGATGTCTTGAGAGCTAATAAAGAATTCAATTTGAAGAACCATGATGCGAACCATGAGCAAATATTTTCCATCATTTTTCCAAATGCGCGTGGAACATAAAGAATGGTCGTGTCTGTTTTCTGTTAAAGCAAATTAAAAGCCGACTCTGAGGAACAAAGCGTGTGGTAGGAAAATTACTAGGAATATCAAATTAATAGGAATATCAAGACAAGCATACCGTGCTGCTGTTCAGACCGAAACAGAAATAAGAGTGGCATTGTGATTCCTGTGCTGTAGACTGGGAGTAGATTGCCTAGAGAGCCTGTTGCAACAAGCTCTAGATTGGAAAACATTGATTCATGGGAGTCGCATCTCGAACAGGGTAGCACTGTTGGTAAGTAAAATTTTACATGTATTGCGGGCAAACAAAGACAAAAAATTTTGAAAGGAATATAAAATGGGAGAAATATTTGTTTTTGTTATAATTCAGCTACTCAGCTGCAGTTCTTACATGTCAATTCAAGTTTTTTCCATTTATGCAATATAGATTTTCTGGTTTAGATGACATCAGATTATCTGAAACAAGTTTAAAGAACAGTTATTGACCTCTGTGTGTCACTTTATGGCAATTAAGGCAATTAAGGAACTACTTCCATCTGACCCTGTCGTCCATCGCGGTGTCGTCGATTTTGAACTGGCAATATGGTCTGTGGTGCGGTCTGTTCTTGCAGATGTGGAGATAATGGGATGTGTGTTCCACTGGACTCAAGCTCTGTAGAGGAAGGTAATTACAAGTTACAGAATATGTAATGTATATATTATGTATATGACAATTAAAGTGCACGTAAACCCCAATTTTTTTTTTTTGGCTAAGGCGAAACTTTGAACCACACTCAAATAGAATTTGACATCAACCCAGGAATAGACCCAGGCCCCTCACAAGCTCGGTCATAGCACCAAAGATATCAAATTCTGTAAATCATACTAATTTTTTCCCATTTTTCTGAGGTGCAAGAGTTGGGTCTGACCTTGGCATATGATAAAGATGATGGGACCCACCGATTCATTCGTTCCCTGATGGCATTACCATTCCTGCCAGCACAAGGGATTGAGGCGCAGTTTGACGGTATACATCAGAATTGTCCACCTGGCCCTCTAGAAGACCTAGTCAACTACGTTGAGACCACCTGGATAAATGGCACTTATCCGCTGGAGTGCTGGAGCATATGTGACAGAGTCACTTAGGCTTATTTCCTACTTAAAACATGTTTGTTCTGTTTATTTTATTTTATGGAATTTTAGCGATTTGTCAGTAATGTTAGTAATGTGTTAATTGTGTTACTAATGTGTTAACTGTATTAGTAATGTGTTAATTGTATTATTCCTTTACCTGCCCTTGTCCTGTTGTGCGAGAGTAAACACCGATTTCCCTTATGTAATTCCTGTTTAATTGCCGATTTCCCTTATGTACTTCCTGTTTAATTAACCGCTCCTAGCTCAAATTTGGTTTTAAGTTATTTTTACCTTTTCCTGTATTTTACTTTAAGTTACAACCGTTTGCTCGGTGAGTTCACTTGATTTGTTGCCTTCCTGAGAGTGCCTTTAAAGCGGATTCTAAGCTATACTAGCTTTTGGTATGTTTCAGTATTTTATGTTTGTTTGAGCCCTAAGCTTAGCACGTAGTTGTTTCCATGTATTTTTGTAGTGATTTTCGGGTTAGAATTTGCTTAGTTTAGCCACATACTCCTTTTATCTTACTATTGTATTTTATTTATTTACTCTGACCTTTGTCACACAGCATGTAATTTCTCTGCTATATAAACTACAATTGTTTTCGTATTAGCAGCTGTAATATTTTGCTTACCTGCTTCCAGTTCATTGTTGCTATGATTCCTGTGTTTTCAGAACCAAATTATGAGTTCATTACACTAGTAATTTCATTTTCCCCTTTCACTGTTTTATACTGTATTAGCTCAAGTTGTAATATTAAGCCTAGCTCGTAGTCTTTGTTGAATTCATGCCTGGTGTAGCAATCACTATTTTTGATAGTTTCTGTCACACAATTTCCTGTTTTCAAGTACTTTGTTTGTTTC